CGCCAGTGGGCACAGGCAGAAGTGGGGGTGGGGGACACCATGGCGGCAGAGGCGGGTGTAGTCAGAGTTAATGACTCCTGGGGGTCGACTGCCTTTGGTCATCAGTCTGGGTCTCCCTCCCCACACATCCCCCAGCTCCACAGGAAACCAAGAAGCCCCGATACAGTGTGGGCAGGGGTCTCAAACCCACCTGCCCACCCTCCCGCCCACAGCCTGCTTAGGAAGGCCCGTGAGGCACCTGGGGGGCCATCCGCTGTGCTGCCGCGCTCCCCGGCGGGGCCCTCGCGGCCGCAGACCCCGGAGCGATGGTGAGGAAGTCCCGCGTGCGTGACGCTGGAACAGTAGCTCAGTCAGGTGAGAAAGAAGGTGGAAACACCTGGTGTCTGTCAAAAATTTTATTTTATTTTTGTTTCACACAGAATGATGTTAAAATAAATCCTCAGTTAATATATATTTATACACTTATTTACTTGTGTGGATATTTACAAAAGATTGTGGAGCTCTGTGAAGTCTATGCACACCCGTGATCAGGTGGACAGGCAATGTTCACTGAGGCACGTATGTACACACATATGTGTAACCTATGTACAAAGATCAGACCCTACTGACACAGGAACTCTCAGCTGCGGAAGTCCCGGGCGGGGCAGTGTTGCTGGGGCTGAAAGCTTCCGGAACATGTCAGCGAGAATGGTAACAGCTATACGTCCTGTGTGATGCAGTTATAGCTGGTGTCTACATTTTCGTGAAGCAAACAAACAGTTAAATGACTCCCAACACCCATGAGTCTTCCCCACAAGCCCTGCTCCGCCTTGCGCTCCGATTGGTCCCCAGCCTCTTATCACCATGGAGACCCCGGTTCCCTTTCAGCATCATCCTTTACGAAGCTTTACCATCAGCTCTGGCATTCCTTCTCCTATTGATCCCAGGGAGGTTTATTTATCTGCCTCTCCTCTTTGGCTTTTCAGCAATTATTAGAGACGAGATGCGGGAGGGCAGCTACCCAGTGGTGCGTGAGCGAGCGGAAAGGAAGCGGGCAGGAACTCGAATTAGATTCTGGGCTGCGTGAGCCTCTGCGAGCGGCCATTTCCACCTTTCCCGTCTACGTGTGTGTCATGCACAAAGCCCGCACAGGCAGCCTGTATAAGCACGTGAGTGCATGGGTGTAGAAAAGGAAGCAGACCCTGCACTCCTGAGCCTTACCTCTGGGCCCCTGAGGGAAGGAGAGAGCCCTTCTGGACCGCTGGCAGCGTTAACTCTCCCTGTTCCAAGAGTGCCCTTGGAGCCGGGAGGGGTGCAGGGACGCAGGGACGCGGAACCCCAGGCCGAGGCCAATTTGGCTGGGGCGCTGTGTGCTCAGCAGGCTGGGGCTCGATCACGGGGCTTTCCAGCTTCCTGGGGCCCTTCAAGTGCAGGGCTCGTCCAAGCGCCACAACCGAAGGAAACTGGGTCGCGGATCCCACGTGAAGGCGGAACTGGGGCAAGCACAGAGCATGTTCAGACCCTCTGCCACTGCCGCGCCGAGCCAGCCGGGCCCGCTGCCTGCCTTTCCCTCCCACGTCTCAAGGCCGAGGCTGAGGCCGCCTGCTCTCGCCCAGCCCTGAAAGGTCCCTGTCCTTGCCCTGCACTTCACAGGCTCAAAAGGTAGTCATGTCAGCAGCTGGCACGGCAATTGTTTGGTGGCCAAGCCAGTGCCTGAATGCTCTCTTCCTCCCGGCTCCTCCTCTGGCTTCTCCTAGCAGCCCAGAGTGTGGCTGCGCTCAGACAAACAAGGCAGCTGGTGTCTAGGGAATCGTTTTCAAGAAGCAGGGCTCAGAGGCCTCTCTCGAGGACTGAGAAGAGAGACAGGACTGAGTCCTCTGGGCAGCTGTCCCAGGCCGTAGTGCAGAGCCACGGCGGCAGCACGCTCCGTCATCTCGACGTTGCTGCAGCTGGCCGCCTGGTTACGTAGTCACACCTGCCCTGGTGCACCCATCAGTGCAATGACGCAAACTCATCCGGAACATATCGGACTGTTTTGGGGGTACAGAGGAGCACAGAAAGTTACGTCTGTTCCCAGGCCCAGATTCGATTCACGCCACGTAAGAAGTGGCCATGCAGACAGGTGACCCCAATAGCCCCTGTTTACCAGTGGGTCACACGCATTCTGGTTTATGGACTTCTCTGTCTGACCATGGCCAGCTTGCCCAGTTTGGTGGGCTGCTGGGAGCGCTGGGAGGCGGCAGGGCCCCCTGCACCACCTACATTGCCCCAGGTACCAGTGAGGGATCCCCCCGCCCCTGTCCAGGGAGTGTGCACACAGCGAGGTGAGGCGAAGTGTCTCCCGTGGGTCTCAGACGCTGCCAGGCAAGGCGGAGAAGGAGAACGTGCTTCCACTCAGACCCAGCTGTTTCTCCAAAGAGGCAACTAAATCCTAGCTGTTCTACCGCCCACGTCCACAACCTAGATTTGGTCAAAACTGACAGCAGGGTGGGTGGGTGTGTTCCATCGCTTGCCATACACCTCACCTTCCACGGGGCAGACACGCCTGTTAGAACGAGGTTACTTTCAGATCTCACGCAAGTCAAGCCTCGGTCACGCCACCAAACGGCAAAGACAAAGTGACAACAGATCACTCCTGTGCCAGGTCTTCCTGCCCCCTCCTCCCCCTGAGCTACCGAGTTTGCTGTCACTGTTCCGGGCCCCAGTGATGAGGTCACAGCCAGCCAGGGTGCACAGCACAACGGGCGAGCCCTGGCCCTCAGCTCGGCCTCCCTGTATCCCTGAGTCAGGCGGCCGCCTGGGAGGGAAGGGAAAGATCCTGGAGCCGCACCTTTTGTTACGAAAGAACCATCTTCTGGAGAGATCTCTGCGTGGAAGGATAAGCTGAACTGGAGAACTGGGGAGGATGCAAAAGGAAGGTCATTTGCAAAATTCAAATGAATTCAGTTTATTTCTTGGATTGCCAAATGTATTCCACATTGGTGAAGCAAAGGGGACTGGTCATTGTGTAGTCTGATTTTTAAATAATGGTATACATATATACACATACTATACATATATACACAGACATATGTATATATGGAAAACCTCTGATAACTCAGGACCCGTGAGCCAACACCTCGACTACCGAGGTCTCTGTTTTCTGACCACACGTCCAGCAGAAAGAGGCCAAGGGCGGCGAGGGCCTCTGCTGGGCCCCTGTGTGCCCGGGCGGCCAGCTTCCAGCGGCGCCGGGCAGCCAGCTCGAGGGCGGCCTGTCCCTTTGGTCTTGTCCCTCACGCTTCTGGACAGTGAGCCCCGAGGTTCCCAAGGTTGACCCTGAGCAACGCCAGGTCATCTGTCGTCTTGGAACACTTGTTACTAAGGCAGGAAAGTTTCTACTAACCTACTTAGGAAACGTCTTTTTTTTTATTTTCAATAACAAAAGGTTGACCAAAACGTATTTCCCACTCCCATGCAAACAACCTGAACTGTAAAGTGAGCAGGACGTGCCCTTCCCTGAGGATTTCGCCGTCTGTCAACTGAGGTTTTGCTGCACACGGGTGTGGGGGCAAGGCGGGCTGAGCAGGACTGGAGCGGGACGCGGGGTACTCGGGGGGCGCTACCTTCTCTGATTGTCCAGTCGGGAGGGGTGTCCTCACAGGGTTTCTCTGGGAAAACGGCCTCGTCTGAAGCCCCCTCGTGACGTGTGCAAATGTTCGTGCAGCTGCACCTCGCAGGGGGTGGCGGGGTCTCTGTGTCACGAATGTGACGTCCCGACCACCCGAATTTCTATCCCTGTCGACCTCCACCCACAACCACCTGTGTCCCTCCGTAGCTGTCACGGAGCCCCTTTGGGCAATCACGGCAGCTGATCTGGAAGGACGGCCAGAGGGTGACCCCCCAAACCTGCCGGGGCTGCCGGTCCCAGGTGCAAACCTGCAAGCCACGTTCCCCCAGCATCCCCGTCCCCGGGGTGGGGAGGAAGGGGAGCAAGCGGATCAAGTGATGGCTTTTAGTGGGGGGACAACCTTCTGTAACGGCTCAGGATGCTGTGCTCCTACTGCCCTTCTCAACCGGGAGCGCTCTCCCGCGGGCTTCCATCACAACTTCCAGACTGACCGGAGGTCCGGGAGGTGGGCGGACGGGAGGCCACTCAGACCCCAGGCTCCAGGGCCCAGAGGCTGTGAGAACGCCGGGGAAGGGGGGCGGGAAGAAAGGAGAGGAGGCCGCCCGAGTCGAGAGGACAGACACACACTTGGAGAAGGAGGAGAGAGGCATGTGCGGGAGGGAGGGAGACCGGAGGCAGAGAGCCTGCTCTGGACCTCCCCCGGGCGCACACTGAGCTCCCCCCCACTCCCCGCCGCTGGTCGGAGCCTCAGGAGGAGAGGCGGGTGAACTCCGGGCAACCAGAGGGACTACGGAGACAGTGAACTAACAGCTGGAAGCCAAGAGCATTGCCTCCTAATCCAGGTACTGCCACTTTTCAGTCCTGAGAACAAGATTTTTTGAAAGAGCTATTGCTAAAGAAAACAGTCACTATTGATTTTATTGCACTTTTCCTCTTTAAAAATAGTCAAACACAAACTATGAGAGACGGAGCTGAGGTCTGGTGGGAAGGGAAGCAACAAGAAGGGAAACGTGAACTCGATTCCTTTGAGGAAGAGACCCACCCACTTGTAGGGGACCGCCCCCTGTCGCCCGCTCGCTGCTGTGACAGGGACGGGGTTCGCCTCCACGAGGGCCAAGTCTGAGGATGTGCAGGATGGTCCCGGCAGCCAGAGGCAGCTCCCTGCATCCTGCGCCCTGCTCCTCGGCTCAGATGGTTTATGATCTTTGTAAGGTTAGGGTCTCGGGGTCAAACCTAGCGATGGCCACTCTGCCGAGGCTAGGGGAGCCCTCCATTGTGCTGCCAAGGAGCACCCTGGGCACCACAGCCCACGGGGACCCGCCCTCTCAGACCAGGCGGGGACCCCAGAGGAAGGCCCATGGCAATGGGCCCCAGGGGAGCCGGAACTGGGTCCCGGCTGGGTCCCGGAGGGGAGTCCCCATCCCCTCTGGGGTTCACAGTTCAAAGCTCTGTGCTCTTCCTGCCCAACATGGGGGGTGCCGTGTCACCTGCTGTGGCATTTGCTGAGTGTCCTCTAGTTTCCTTTGTAGAAGGCAGCTCCCACCTCTCTTCCCTGTGACCGTGGGCAGCACTGAACCCCCTGGCCCGAGACTCTGCACATGGGTCGGCCCTGATGTTTACGGCAGACCAGGAGGAAGTCGGGTGGCCAAAGACCTCACCGTGGTGGGGTGACAGATCCTGAGAGGACAGGACGAGCAAGTCCTGCAGCGCTCCCCGTACAGGGCCTCCGGGCCGGGGACTCCAGCCGGCTCTGCTGTCACGGGAGGCCTCTCCCCACGGGCTGATGGTGGCCGGAGACACACTCCCTTGGGGCCCCTTTGACAAGGCTCAATTCCTGGCGATACTCCTCCTCCGTCCTCAGGAGCCCAGCTGAGGGGGCAGGGGGCGGCAGCCGAGAGTGGGGAGGAGAGAGCATCAAACACTATGGAAGCTCCAAGCCTTAGCCCTGTCCTTCATTCCATCTTGGCTCCTGAAGAGCCTACTCCAAACTCTGACCCGCTCGGTCGCCCTCTCTTCCTGACGACCTGCCCACCTTTCCTGGCCTTCCTTCCCTTCAGCCTCCTGAGAACGCCAGCCTTCCTGAAAGGCTGCCCCTGCGGAGGCACTGCTGAAGCTAAAGGGAAGATTGCGATCTTGACTTGGAAGCACTGGGAAGGCCAGCACGGTGCACTGAACGTGCAAATCAGGGCCCACTCCCCTGGCCCCTGCTGTTGCTGCTTTCCGCCATGGAGACCCGGAGCTGTGGCTGCCGAGAGGGGGCTGGGACACGCCTGCAGGGGTCCGGACCGTGATACCTGCCCTGACACCTGACCTCAAACCCCAACCTCCATTTGAGGGGAAGCCTTTGCCCAAGGGCCCAGCTAGTGCTCCTGGTGGGAAGGCCCGGCTCCGTGGGCAACCCAAAACAGCGAGTCGTCTCACAAAGCACTTGTATCAGGCCTTGGAAGATAGGACCAAAACCAGACCCTTTAAAACCTGGTGTCGTTTGCTTGCGTAGCGTTAGGATCGCGTCTCTAACCGTGTTTTACTTAAGCTGGACTGGTGTGTGTTTCCTCGAGGTGCAGCGATTGGATGGGGGGCAGGGCACCCGCGTGGAGCCCAGTGGGGGGCAGGGGCATGCCTAGGGTGGAACACCCCCCAGGGGGGACTCGGGAGTTGACCCCATGGGGCTCATGCCCATGGGCAAGTGAGATGCCACGAGCAGGTGAAAGGGGCTCGTTTAAGAGGTAAATCTGTCTTCAGTCCAACTTTCTGACTGGGTCCCCACAAAGCCGTGGGGCTGGAGGGGCAATAAGGTCTGTGGACTGAGGGCATGTTGGGGCATCTTCGCTGTGGTTCTGGGCCCAGGACTCTGCAGTTTCTTGAACCATCAGTGCTTTTAACCGAATGGAATGGAGAGACCCCAGGGGCTGGGAGCTGGGGAGACGAGGCTACTGAGCCCTCTGCGTGGACTGGCTTTGAGGGAAGGCAGGTGGCGAGGAGGTGTATTAATAGGCCACTAGCTGTCCCAGGTCCTTCCTTCCACACTCTGCACCCGGGTTTCTGGTGGGAGGGAGGTGAGTAAGTAGAGACCTCATGCGATTCCCAGTTTGAATCAGAGATCTTCTTGATAATGGGTGGCCTGTCTTTCTGCTTTAAATCTTGGGGATTGATTTAAATGATTTAAATCTTCTTGGGGGTGTGTGAGGGAGGGAGAGAAGAGACTAGAAAAAGAAATTTCCTGAAGGATACTGAGGGGTATACATGCAGGCTAGGGAAAGATGTTTAAATCTGATCTTCTGCCCTGGCTGCTGTGGCTCAGTGGACTGAGCACCAGCCTGCAAACCAAAGGGTCGCCAGTTCGATTCCCAGTCAGGGCACTGGCCTGGGTTGCAATCCAGGTCCCAGTAGGGGGCGAGCGAGAGGCAACCACACATTGATGGTTCTCTCCCTCTCTCTCTTCCCCTCTCTCTAAAAAATGAATAAATAAAATCTTAAAAGGAATAAATCTGATCTTCTGTTTGTGCCTATTCATTTGTAGGTCTGGGGGCAGAGCCGTGGATCTGAGTGTGTGTATACATTCTGTGTGTATTGTGTGTCCTCGGTTGTGCATGCTGCATCTCGAGTGCCTTGTACGGTGAACGTGACGTGTGTGTAAACCGAGTTTGTGTGTGTTCTGCATGCAGAAACAAGGGCAAGTTGCCCTTCCTGTGTTCCGTAGGCAGACTCACTGCGCTCACGTAGCTTGTGTTTGCCACACCTGGGTTGCAGGTCACACCTTTGACTTGGTGTGTGCAGGCCTTTGTCTATGTTCTGTATTAGTGAATCTACTCTGTGTCCATGCTGGGAACACATAACTTGGACATGGGTATGGCCACATATGTTCTGTGTATGCCCTTCTCATTAATTTGGTCTCTGTGTTGTGCATGTGTGTTGCATGTTTTGTTTCTGTGTATGTGGCAACGGTGTAACTCTTTGTGGTGGGTGTGCATGCAGGTGTGTCTATGAGTGTGAACACTTTAGAGTGGCAGGCCATGGACGTGGGGATAAAGTCTCCACCCTTGACCTAGGCCTCAGGTAGGGGTTGGGTCCCTCCTGCCCCATGTCTTGGCAATGCAGCACCACCTCCCATGAGGAGAGGAAGAGAAGCACAGACGCTTTGCACTGGGCCTGGGATACCCTGCAGACACCTGGGGATGTGGGTGACCAGGAACTAATGAGCACCCTGGGCCTAGCACCCTGAGCTGGTGCCCCACCCCCAAGGTAACTGTAGGTGCTAAACAGCCGACAGTAAGGCTGGGGCCGGGGCCGCTGCAGTTGGGCAGCCCGACCACACAGCTCCCTGTGTCTGGGGAACTTCCGCTGTTACACTGAAAGGCAAAGAAGCCGGGATGAGCAGCAAAGCCCCCCCACCGCACCCCCTTCTAGGGCCAGCCCGCACTCGACCTGCAGGCTGTGTGGAGCTCAGCCATGCTCAACCTCTTCCGGGGGTGGGGACCCCTTCTCTACCCATCCTTCAGGTTGCTGAAGCAGCTCCGGTTGCCAATCTAGTGGGGAGCGAGTCTGAGCCTGTCCATCAAAATCACGCCTACGGGTCATCCGGGGACTCCGCCCCACTGGTCCTGGGCTTTGGAAGTCTCCCCGTAGGGGAGGAGGATCCCTTTAAGTCCAGGCCTGTGGGATCGGGTGCCCAGGAGCCCTCCTCGCTGGTGACCTTGGTTTCAAGGCAGGTGATCCACTCGAGCCCTCTAGGGGTAGGTTCCTGAAGGTGACCGATGCGGAGCCAATGACAATGAAAACCTAACACGGTAGGGACGGAGGTGGGGGAGATGGTTACCACAAGGGACTGGAGGGGAGGCCCGGGGCCGGGCTGGCCCAGGACAGCAGGAGCCGCGAGGGCCGGGGGGGCCCTCGTGCGCTCGGTAAGACAAGCCTCAGCCGCGGGGACTGAGGCTGCAGCACGTGGAGGGCAGAAGACAATTCTAACGTCTGAGAGTCCGTGGAGACCGGAGCGCCTGAGGCGACGGCAGCACACCCAGGCCCGGGGGGGTTACCGGCGAGGTCGATGAACCCGGGAGGCCTCTTAGATAACCAGCCCACCAAGCAGTGGGTCTGCTCCTGAACCTGAACTCCAGCGAGTGAAGATATATGTGAGTGTGTGTGCATGTAAATGTACACACACGTACATGTGTACATATACATACATACACGATAGTGCACATAGTCCGGCACATGCATCAGTTGCCCTGTGTCAAAAATATTGCATCAGCTTATCCAAGGTTCAAATGCAATGGTCTCTAGAGCTTGCTAGGTGGAGGAGCTTGGGAAGGAGACGCTTGATATATATTTATATATAGATATATATAGATATATATAGAGATATATACATCGGATCCACAGATCCGCCTTCCTCGGGACCAGACGCCCTGGTCGGCTGCACAGTCACGCCTGCGGCTCAGTTAACTCCTAAGGGGCAGTCTCGGTGAGGTGTTTCGGCGCTGCCTCCCCTGCCCACTCTCCCGGCTTTGCAGAGGCCTGTGCCCCCGTCTGGAAGAACAGGTATGGGGAGGGCTGGAGGGCCAGAAGTCTTGGGCCCCCCTTCCAAATAGCCTCTTTTTTCTCCTGACTGAGGGCTTTCATCTTCTGATGGGGGAAAAACCCTAGTCCGACGCCATTCCTAGGCTTTTAATACTCTACGTGTGGATACTGTATAGGCTACTAAGAAAATAGGTTATCTCCTGTGTGTTAAATACTGAGAGTCATGCAGCAAACACCCATGCAGCTCTATTGCATCACTGGAAAATGTCACTGCAGCGTCAGAGTGGCTGGCCCACGGCGCTAGGCAAGCGGATGTCTGCGAACCCCCGTGCCACACAGCGGCGGGACCTGCTTCTGGGACCCTGAAGCCTGCGGGAATGGTGAGATCTGAGACCTGCAGCAGAGAGGTCCCCGGGTTTGTTAGCTTCTCCCCACAGGCCTCCGGGGGAGCAAATGTGAAACTTGACGACTCCCCATCAGTCCCACTTAACTGTCCCTCCCTCAGGCTTCCCTCTCATCGACACTGCAGAGGAAAAAAAAAATCAAATGCAGCATTTTCCGTTATGAAACACAAGCCTCTGTCTGGAGCACACACTTGGCAGCTGCGATTCGCAGACCCCAGCCTGTGACAGAGACAGGAATTCCAGCACATGGGACCATGCGTTCTGTTCAGCGTAACACGGGGACGACCTCTCAAGTAGTTACCAGCGCTTTAAAGCTAAGCTACCGCGGTTCTCCTCTGTGCAGGTGGACTCAGATGGGCGGGGGCAGGGGCGGGGTTGGGGGTGCACCTGCTGGGCACTGCGCTGCGTGCATCGAATCAGGAAGGAAAGGTGGATCTCACGTGGCAGGTTACGTATGTGCTATGAGGTGGCCTCAAATCCTGGCTCCACGGGTGACTCCCCATCTTTGGAAACCCCTCAACCGGTGATGAGGGTTCACGTGAGAGCCAGGGATAGCTATTCTGTGTTCTAAATCAAAAAATCGGAGGTTCAAGAGTCACTGGCACGACTGCTGCTCTCCATGCAGAACCAGAGACACACGGTGGGACGGACTGACTACGGTGCAGGCTCTTACGCAGTGTCTGCGTTTAGTTCCACTGAGAGCTGCGAGCGTGTGGCTAGGCTGCGGTCAGACATCGGTTAGCATTTTGGTGATATTCACATAGTTTGTGTTGGCCAGGGTGCAGTTGGCCGTTTTCAAGTTCTCCTCTCTAAAGTCCTCGTTACTGTTGTTGACCCCCTCCTGGATCTCCATGTAGTCGGACTTACTAATGGTAGAGGCACTTCTACTTTTCTTTAGGTCAGGGGAGGACGGGATCTTTGGACAGCTGGTCACTTGCAAGTACTGGGCCTGCTCCTCTCCCTCTGTCTCCCGGTGGTAGAAGTAGTTGAAATTGGACACTATGACGGGGACTGGTAAGGCAATGGTTAACACACCTGCAATCGCGCACAGGGAACCCACTATCTTTCCCCCAATGGTGGTCGGGACCATGTCTCCATAGCCTACAGTTGTCATGGAGACCACTGCCCACCAGAAGGCATCCGGGATGCTGGGGAACTGGGAGTCTCGTTCATCGGCCTCAGCGAAATAGACAGCGCTAGAGAACAGAATGACCCCGATGAAGAGGAAGAAGATCAGGAGGCCCAACTCGCGCATGCTGGCTTTGAGGGTCTGACCTAGGATCTGGAGACCTTTGGAGTGTCTGGACAGCTTGAAAATCCTAAAGACTCTTACCAGCCGGATGACGCGGAGGATGGCCAGCGACATGGCCTGCTGGCCCTGCTGGGCGTCCTCTGGCTTCTCGGCCAGCTCCGTCCCCAGGGTGATGAAGTAGGGGATGATGGCCACGATGTCGATGATGTTCATGATGTTGGTGAAGAAGCCGGCTTTGCTGGGGCAGGCGAAGAAGCGCACCAGGAACTCGAAGGAGAACCAGATGATGCAGAGCGTCTCCACGATGAAGAAGGGGTCGGTGAAGGAGGCGGACTGCTGGTACCCGACGGTGCTGTTGGCGTAGGTGTGGAAGGCCACCCCGCCGCCGTGCACGTCCTCGTTCTCGTCCCGGAAGATGGGCAGCGTCTCCAGGCAGAAGCTGACGATGGAGATCAGGATCACCATGACCGACACGATGGCGATGATCCGGGCGGGCCCTGAGCTCTCCGGGTACTCGAAGAGCAGCCACACCTGCCTCTGAAACTCGTTTTCGGGCAGGGGCCGCTCCTCCTCTTTGATGTAGCCTTCGTCTTCCCGAAACATCTCCATCGCCTCTTCCCCCAGCTCATAGAACCGGATCTCTTCCGAGAAGATGTCTAAGGGCACGTTCACGGGCCGCCTCAGCCGGCCCCCGGACTGGTAGTAGTACAGGATGGCGTCGAAGCTGGGCCGGTTGCGGTCGAAGAAGTACTCGTTCCGGAGGGGGTCGAAGTACCGCATCCGCTTCTTCGGGTCCCCTAAGAGGGTCTCTGGGAACTGAGCTAAGGTCTTCAGCTGGGTCTCAAACCGCAGCCCCGAGATGTTGATCACCACCCTCTCGCAGCACTCGTGGTCGGCCTCTGGGTCGTAGGTGTCCTGGGGGTGCCCGGGGAGGGCAGCAGCCTCGTCCGCTGGGTCTCCGGTGGCCACTGTCATAGTTGGGACTGAGAGATGCGCCTCACGCTACGCCTTCCAGCTGCCTGGCGGCAGGGAGCTCAAGGTGCTGCTGACGGCCCCAGGAGGCGCCGGGGCATGGGCCTGGCTCCTGCCGGAGAGCCCCGAGGGCTCCCTGAGAGCCAGCGGCACAGCGTGGCTGAAAGACAGAGGCGGTTAAAGACATGAGACCACTCAGCACTGGCAGCCTGGCTGGGGTTGTCCAGTGTGTGCCCCCCACCCCCGTCTCTCAGACAAGAGTTCAGAAGCACGACTGCCACCACCGGCAAGCGCAGTTTAATTTCACCTCGCACCCTGGCTGGGGCTCACAGGGGAGGAGCTGGTGGCAATCTCCTTAAGAATGCTTTGGGACATCCTGCCCTGCGGGGAGGGGGCAGTACCGGCCCCTCTGCACCCACCACAAGCAGGCGCACAGTCCAGTTCTGGAGGCTGGAAGAGAGCCATCCAGCGGGCGCTGAGGGGATGCCTTTCGGATCCCTGCACCCTGGGAGGCGTCCGCAGTGGCAGGGCTTGGACCAGGGTCTCCCGCAGTGCACCCACCACAACAACCACACGTGGCTGCTCTTAAACAACAGACCGATTTACCTGGCAAGGCAGGGATCTGGAGCTCTCTCCCCTGCAGAGCTGATTAGATGGTGAGGGAATCCTAGCTACACAAACAGGCAGCCCGGCTCCCCATCACGTCTCCGCGCTTGAGCTAGAAATAATGGTGAGTCATTCTGGGCAGGAGGGCGGGCTCCAGGTCCTGGAGGTGAGCTCCGGGTCTGGGTGGGCTGCAGGGGCGGCGGGGTGCCTGGTCAGGGCCACGCGGGATTCCAGGAGAGCTGCGCGTGGCTCTGGAACCTTTGGAAGGAAGGAGGCGAGACGCAAAGGTCAGCAGAAGCCGGAGTCCTCCTGGCTGGCCTCAGGAGGTGCAACATTGCTGGGAGACACAGCCGCCGGGCGGAACCGGGGCTCTCTCTCGGGCAGCCGCTGCCAAGCTCCGGGAGGGCTCTGGCAGCCTCCCTTCCATGTGCCTTCCATTCCCGCTGGAGTCACACCTGAGGCTACCCCTCCGCCTTCCAGCCTCGTCTGGGCAGGCTTCCATCAGCTGGAAGCCTTTTCTCCCAGGAACAAGCCTCCTGGCTTGGCTGGGCCTGCCTCTCCAGGGGCCTCCCTGGGCTGAGCCAGATCCCCTGTTGGTCCTCGGCAGCCAGCGAGAGGGACTGCGGCCAAAGCCCTCCCACCCCTAGGTCAGGACACGGCGTCTGGAAGGGGGAGAGCTTCCTACACTGCAGCCTACTACAAGCTCTGACCTCGGCAGGGTGCTGGAGGGAGGGCAGTCCCCACAAACGCCCAACACACTCCTTCAGAGCTCATCTAGGGAGACTCCTCACACAGAAAGGTCGCCTCTACAGAGCGGGCTGGCTGGGGCCCAGGGCTGAGTCGCCCTCGAGTATCCCTAGGCTGTAGGCCTCCCTCCCTGGGAGCCTGGCATTTGAAAGGGAAGGCGCTGGACCACCGGTTTCTCCTCAACAGAAAAATCCCTCCCATCTCCTGGGCAGGGCGGGCAGAGCGGATGCTCAGCCTTCCTGGCTGTCAGGAGGCTTGGCAGCAAGAGGAGAGCCTGGGGGAGGCCGTCTGCTGAGCTGGCCCTGCCGGTCCCCGGGCGGGCAGGGGTCTAGGCCCTCTCCCCAGCGTCCGGGGCTGCAGCTGGGATTCTGCCGCGCATGTTCCTCGCCGGGCTCCGCGCTGGCGGCCCAGACCCACCGGCTGCCCGCGGCATCCAGAGCCACCTTAACCCCCTCCTGCCCGGTCCGTAGAGGGGTGTCTTGCTGCGGGCCGAGCGCACCCCGGCTCTTTCGCCCTCAGGGCTCCAGCCGAGGGAATCAACGAACCTCCATCGCCACCGCAACCACGGAAGCCTGAACTCTGGGGGCGCGGAGCAGGCGGCCGCCCCAGATCTGAGCCTTCCCGGAGCGCGGGGGCTCCGCGGCAGCCCGCCGCCCCGGGGAAGCGGAAAAGCCCTGCTTGGCCGCAAAGCCGCGTTGGTTCCGAGTCGGAGAGCAGCCTGCAGCCCACCGTCCCAAGCGATGCGCGTCCCACCACCCGGTGCTATTTACCAGACGCAGCTGTGCGGTGGCCGCACTTCCCCTCCTCCGCCAGCGCCGAGCTGCACCCTCCGCGCCGCGCCGCGCGCAGCCCGGAGGGTCCCCGAGCCCGTTCGGTGCCTTCTCCTCCCGCAGGGCACCAGCCGGCCCCCACGCCCCGGTCCTCCCCGGCCCAGCCCTGGCTCCCCCGCCCAGGACTCAGCCCCAGCCCGTCGCGCTGCAGGCTGCGCCCGGCGCCCCGCAGCGCCTCCGGGCGCCGCAGCCCAGGCAGCGGAGCGGCACGCGCAGCCCAACGCCCTGACACCGATTTACCCTTCCGGACGGGCAGCGGGCGCCTCCATGTTCCTGGCGACCGCGAGCGCCGGCGGAACCGCGGTGGCGGCTGCAGGCGGGTGCGGGCGGCCAGCCGGGAGCCGGCTCTGCAGTCCGGCGGGCGGCGCGTACGGAGCGCCCGGCCGCCGCCCGCAGCCGCACCGCGCCGCACCGCGCCACGCAGCGCCGCACCTGGCCGGCTGCGAACTCCGCTTAAAGGGGCCGGCGGGGGCCGGCAGGGCTCGGTCGGGGCTGGCGAGGCGCGCGCCTGCTGCCCCGCCGCGCGGGTCCGCCCGCTGAGTGCCGGGGTCGGCCCCCTTCCCCGGAAAATACCCCCTTATTTGGCAGTGGCCGGCTTACTAACCAGAACCTCGTGGAGAACTCAGCTGGGCCCGGGGAGCTGGGGGAGAAGTTGAGGAGCGGTCAGGAGGGGCTCCTGCCAACACAGTGAAGCAGTCACAGGGCAAACAATGGAAAGCCGCCATCCCCGGCCCGTGGAGGGAACCAGTCCCGCGGGACAGGTGTCGTGCTCATGACGACGCTGCCAGGCCGAAGACCCTCTCTTAGCCCCCTCCTCCAGCACGGCCTCTCCAGTTCCCTCTCACCCAGCCACAGCTTTGGCTTCGGAGGAACGCAGCAGGTGCGGCCGCAGCGTGGCAGAAACTTGCTGCTGCGTGGGCCCCCGCCGGGGCGGGGGCGGGGGAGCCGCAGGGACCCGCAGGATTGCAGAGCCGGCCCTCCAGACCCCTCCCCCACCCCACCGGCTCGGGGTAGGGAAGGCTGGGGCACCTGCATTCACCCACTCACCGACCAGATCCCTCGGAGACCTTACGGAGCCAGCTGGAACTCGGCTCCGAAACGGGGAGGGCAGCCCCAGCGCCCTGGGCCGGGGAGGATGCCTTCAGCTCTTGGAAGAGTGTGTGCGGGAAGCGCAGCCTGCCCTCTGTTCTGATCCGGGACCTGAGAAAGTCCAGGGTGCTCTTGGGAGCCTCCCGGCAGCCACAAGCCCCTGCCAGTCCTGTTCTCCAGATCCACCTGGCGAACAGTGGTTCCCTGAGCCCAGACTGCAATGCAGAGGCCCGGGAAGGCGTCTGCTGGGCCCCCCTTGCTCAGACCAGCTCCTCTCCAGGCCCGTAGCTTGTGATGGAAGCTCTGAGAGGCCAGAAGGTCCAGCTCTGTGGGATGCTGCCAGTTCATCTGGGTAGTCTACCCAGAGCTGTGGGGGGCAGGGGAGGGTTGTCTGGGAGGGCAGTGACCTCAGTGAGCTCTGGGGACGGCAGATGATTACAAGGCAGGGTTTCCAGCTCCTCGAAGCTGGGCGGTCACTGTCCCAGCCAGAGTGTGGCCTGGGGAGTTGGGAACCGGGAAGGTTGAGACCCGAATCCTGACCCACTCACTAGGCAGGTTAAGTCCCATCTCTGGACCTCGGTGCTTTCATCTGCAACATGCAGGCACCTCCTGGGCTGCTGTGAGGGTGATGTTGTTTGCAGGACGAATGTGGCACCCAGCAGACCCTGCACGGACGAGAGCCTTCCACTCTGCCTCGCTGCGACACTGCCCACCTCACGCCTGCCTCCAGCTCAGCTTTCGACTGTTTCTTCTCCACGTGCCCCGTCGCCGGGGCTTGTTGCCCCATCCTCTCTGCTTACGAGCTTGCCCCACCCCTCACTCCCCCCCCCCCCAGGCCTCAGCCTTTCCCACCTGTCACCACACTGTCCCCAGAACCTGCCTGGCGCTCCCAGAAGCCTCCCTGGACCAGCCCCCGCCCCCCACCCGCCCCTTGCCGTCTCTCCTTCTGCCACATTGGGTCCTCACGTCAATGAAAGCCCAATGGCCTCATGCATTGGACCGCGTCTGTCTATTTTCTTCACCTTCCTTCGTCAAAACAAACGCTGTGGACAAAAAACAAAACAAAACACAAAACAACAAACACAACAACTCTTGAGGGAGGATTAACAGTCAAGCTAATTGGCGGCGTGCGCTTGCCGCCCCAGCCCTGAGGGGCGTCGACTCCTTGTCGCTCTAGTCGTTTCCACACCAGTTCAGGGAGAGGAAACCGAGGCAGAGGGAGGTGAAGCGGTCTGCCCAAGGTCACCAGGGCGTGGCCCCAGGACTTGAACGGGGACTTTGGGGCGCTAGGACTCACACCGTCAGCCCCCACACGTCACCGCTCGCAGAGCATGAGCCGCCCTTGGAGTTCGTTTCCCCGTCTGGGATCCTCCTCCGACCCCTGTTCCACCCGATGGCCTCGGGGGTACGTCATCCTACCTCCCCCTTTAACGCCTGAGTTTGAACAACAACAAAGAAGGAATTAACTGAAGGAGGACATTTAAAAAACAGCCCATAACAACAGTTGTTCAGGAGCGTAGGGCTAGGGGCGCCCTGCAAGTGAGTTCCTTCGGTTTGGCATTGCTGTGTGAGAAGAACTCGGACCCGACTCCTGGCTCTGACACCTGCTTGCTGTGTGAACTTGGGCAGGTTCTCAGAACTCCCTGGGCCTCAGTTTCCTCACCTGTTGGGCAGGACAGCAAAGCCGCTTCCCCGGGTGGCGGGGCAGTTCGTGTGACCTGGGCGCCAATCACTGTCGGCTTACTTTCCAGGTTTCTGGCCCCCAAAGAGCAGCTGGAGTGGCCCTTGACCCCTTCCTGGGATGGTCACACCCCAACGCTCCCTTCCCCTTCGGTCTGTTCCTGCTTGGGGACCACGCCGTGTCCTCAGCAGAGGGGAGGGCTGGTGGCGGCCACAGTGCTCGAGCTGCCGCTGCCCGGGGCAGCTGTTGGTTCCCGTGCTGCGGTCACTGCGAGACTGGGGCACGACAGGGTGCCCACGGCCCCCCCCCCCCAGCCACCACAGTGCCCACCACAGCTGTGAACGCAGAAGGCCCCATGAGCTTCCTTCCCAGGCATCACCCCCGGAGGACCAGGGGGCTTCCTTGCCTGGCCGCCACCTCTGCTGAGGCCCCTCCCCCGGGCCCCCCCACCAGCCAGCTGGGCCGGGGCGCACAGCCATCTCTGGCCCATGGGGAGCAGGGCTGGGAAGTGTGGGATTCGAGCCCAGGCAGGGACAGACGGCTTCCCATAAGCCCTTTGATGTAATCCTTGCAGCCGCCGTGTGGGAAGGACGCCATTGTCTCCACATCACCATTGACACTGAAACTCGAAGAAGACAAGTGACTGTCCAGGGTGATTTAGTGGCGAGGCTGGGACGAGGGAGGCCGTCTGACTCCACAGATCTCCTGGCCTCCCGCGCCCGCTGCCCCAGCTGCCCCAGCTGCCCCAGCTGCCCCAGGGCTCCGTTCCCAGTCTCGGGACATGGATCCACTCCGGAGAACGCGCACACGCTTGGGGCACACGCCCACACGGCAGGCGGGGGGTGGTCCCTCCGGACAGGAGGGCTGTTTTGGAAGGGGGTGGTGCTGGTGGTGATGAACTATTCACACCTCGGGAAGCGAGGCAATAGGGCGAAATTTAGGAGCCGAGGGCTCCGCTCTGTGCTCTTCCCTGGAGCAGGTTTCCCGACGCTTCTCCCATCCGCAGGGCCAGGGCCCAGCGCCCCTCAGTCCGGCGGCGCAGGGCGTGTATGAGGGAGAGCCTCTGACCGCCGTCACAGTCTGGGTTCAGTCTCAGCACGCAGAGCTTCGTGACCTAGAGTCGCTCGCTTGACCTTTCTGTGCTGCAGTTTCCTTGTGAGACGGGAAGGACAGCCTTGCCCGCCCCTCCGCCCCCTTGCTTCACAGGGGCTTTGCTTTGGAGAGAGGAAGGTTGGGAGGAAGGAGAGAAGGAAGGAAGGAAGCGAACCTCACTCTTGGTGTGCACGAGAATCTTGTCCGTGAGGACCAGGGAGGAGGAGACAGGCGGACGTGCTGGGCAGCGTGGAGGCTGGCCAGTGTGCACCAGCACGCCGTTCTTGTGACTGTCCCCCCTGCGGTCTTGGGGGCGCCCTGCTGGTGGGCGCCATGCCTGCTGTTGGATGACTTCGCCCGGAAGTGGAATGAGCTGCCACTCCAGCTTCCTATTTGCCTAAGGGCTTCCTCCTCCAAGAAGCCTTCTGGGATTAGCTCCAGCTGCCTCGAAGGAACTCCTGTGTGGAGGCCTGGGCCTCGGCGCCTTTCCCAGAGTAGCTGCTGCACTCGTCCTGCTCTATGGCAAGCCGTGGCCTAGTGACACAGCGTGCTGAAGACCGCTAAAGGTGGGCGCTCCCCGCATCTTGGAGCTGCGGCTCTGTGCCGGGCACTGTGCTGGCTGCTTTACCGTCAGACTCCTGCTGTTGGCAGGGTGGCGTGGTTCAAGTTCAACCAGCCAGTCTAGGGCCTCGTCCCAGGCCTGCCGTGCTGTAGCTCTGCACTCAGTCCTTGCCTGTGACTTGTGACGGCATAAAGCGCTCAGAACAGAGCCTACCCCAAGGTCAAGTGTTAGCTGTGGACACATCATCAGCCCTGCACTGCCACCCAGAGAGACTCTGAGGAGACGGAAGAGGGAGAGGTTTATGATCAGTGTGATAACAGACACCCTCTGTGTCTGGGCCGCCTCCCCGGACCGCCTGTGATGTCAGCGGCCTGAGGAGGTCTGCCCCTGTGCACGCTGGCCGTGTCCTCTCTGAGCCACTGTGTCCCTCTGCTTTTCTGGCTCAGGGCTGTTTCTGAGGCCACCGCGGCGACTCACTCAGGGTGCCCAGGGTGGCCTGGGTGTCCGGGGAGGAAACTCTGAACGGCCCCAGCTCCCTGCTGTGAGAGGGACAGGTCCTGTCCTGCGCTGGCACCTCCACTGGCGCCCACCTGCACGGAGCCCCGATGGCGCACGTGGTGACCAGCTCAATCCCCGGGGCCAGCTGGCCTGGGTCAGCTCACAGCCAGAGCAGAGGCTGCTGGGCGCAGCTCCCCGGCCCTGCGCATGGCCGGCTCCCTGGGACCTCTGCCTTCAGCCCAGGCTCGTCTCCGAAGCAGCAGACCCGCGAGCCCCACTCCCCGGGCCGGCTCCTCCCTCCCGTTCCCCTGGTTGGGAGAGACGCCGCCTTTCACCCTGTTGCCCAAGCCCGACACCCACCCGGTGTCCTTGTCAGCTTCTCCCCTGACACCCCCACATCCTGTCACTCCCTTGGCCTTGGCATTGGTTCACTTCTCTCGGATTCCCTGTTTCTGCCCTGCCACCCTGCTGTTAGCCACCGGCAGGCATGGTCTGGGCCGCTGCAACCGTCCTGCTCCCCACCTTCAGACCGGCCCCCCACCCCCACCCCGTCTCTTCTCCTCACAGCAGTCCTCCTAAAGCGCAGGTCCAGCCACGTCACTGACCTCTGAACTCCTCACTGGCTCTGTGCTGCTGTGATACCTCCAGCTCGTCCTAAAAGGCAAGCAAGGCCCTTTATGATCGGGTGCTTCCCCTGGCACGCACCCCCTGGGTCCCCCATCCTTTGGCATCAAACTAAACTGCCTTGAAGGCTCTCACTGGTTTAAACGGGCGGGTTAGGTTAAGACCTGAGCTCAGACAGGCCTGGGGTTGAGTCCTGGCTCTTCTGCTCACCGTTCATGTGACCTCGGTGGCTGCTTTGTCTGGGCCCGATTGTCACTATAGCCGCATGTCCTTCCCTGTCCCCTTACTGCCTCTGGCCCACAGAGAAGGGAACAGAGCAGAGGACCAGCAAACCGATATCATGGAAAAGACGGGTGGTCTGGCAGTTCCAGGCCCAGTTCTGCTACCACCTGGGTGACCTTGGGGTGGATGACCTTGGGGAAGACCCTTCCCCTCTTTGGGCCTCAGCTTCCACATCTGTGAAGTGGGGAGCTGGACCACATAATGCATCTGACCCCTTCTTGTTCTACGACTGGTTCTTTGACTTCACCCCGGCTAGGGCATGAGACCATTAGTATCATAAAGATTCCTGTTATAACTGCTTTACT